GGGGTCCCTTTGTCCTGCCGTGGGCCCTGCCCACTGTGTGGCAGTCCCTCTTCCTGCAGTGGGTGGGAGGGGACAGCTGTAGGACAGGCAGGCCACGGCTCCTGGCCCCTTCCTCTGGCTGCCTCTCGGCTCCCTGCTGCCCCGCCCACTCCCACGGACCTGGTTCCCTGGGCTGCTCTGCCACTCGGGGCCTCTGTCCATATCTCTGCCATTCTCCACCGGCCCAGCAGTGCCTGGCCGCAGGGCCCTCCACCTCCGACGCCTTTAGGGTATGGCGCATGGATGGGCTCTTAGTGACCTTCACACCTGCTCTGGGTTTCTGCCTCCTCTCCTCCCATAGGGGAGTCCCTTTCCTCGCACACAGCTTCTCCCAGGGGGATCCCACTGCGGACGCGCATTCTGGGATGGAAGGCCGGTCATTGGCGGGGTGGTGGGTAGGTGGGTGCTGCCCTCGGACCGTAGTTTCTCCCAGGACGCAGGACTTGGTGCTGAGTCTGGCTTTCCCGCCCTGCTCCTTAGCAGTTGTGATTGATCCCCTAGGATCCCCGCTGTTCTTCCCTGCAGCCTCGCCTACAATAAGCCTCCCAGCCCCCCTCAAGTCTCTCAGCCATTTCTGAACATGCCTGTGTCCTGGCCGTGGAAGGATCCAAGTTCACTCCCATTGAGCTCCTGATCCACCCTAGGAGTTCCTTGGCTCGGGGACAGAAGGAAGATGGACTGCCACATAGCAGGTGGGGCAGACTTCAGGACAGACTGCTAAAGGGACTGACCACCTCTGACACCCAAGCAGGTGAGCTTAAGGCATCCCTGGTTTATACCTGTCACGCAGTGCCTGGGGACTCAGGGGCTGAGGGTAGGCACTCAACAACAACCAGTGACACTGAAGCTCCACCATTAGGGCCTGGCAAAGCCCCCTGTGCAGTACCTCAAAATAAGAATTTTTAAAATTCCATGGTGTCCCCAAAGATGCAATGCACAGCACGCACACACCTTTGCATATCCGTTGTCATTCTGCCTCCATCGGCCTGTTTCCTCAGAATGGTTTTGGTTTCTCCTGCTGGGTTTTGCTGGTTCCGTGGTAGCAAAAGCTGCCAGGGTTCAACTGTGAGACAGACCCCGCACTGTGGGTTGACGCAAAGAATTCCGGGCTTTGGGTGTGGAAACAGGCTTGGATGATCAGAGGTCACAAGGCTGACTTTAAATGATAGCTTCCTTAGAAATTCTGGACATTTCTCAGAAACCATCAAAGCCTGCCACGGTTTGCATGACTAAGTGTATTATTAAGCAAAAAAACTCTTTGATGCTCTCTCTGGCTTCTGGCTTGGGATAAGCCACATCATTACAACAGAGATGAACAATGGGCAGCTTGCTCTGGGCTACCAAGCCTGAAAGATACCGCTGAGGAACTCACGAAATGTGGACCACGAAGATTAAGATCTCCAGACTCGCCTCAAAATAAAGCATGCTTTAGGGAGGCAGCCAGGGTGGTGACAAGGTCAGGTGAAAGGAGCAGCTAAAGACCGACGAGTTGAGCTCACCTGGGAACTCTCCTTCACTGCTGATTTGGGAGTGTGGTGTCAGCATCATGAAGGGGAAAGGACACCGGACTAAATGCCAGAAGATGTTGTAGGGGAGGGACACTGTCTCCTTTCGCCTCTCAGGTTCTGTGACTGAGGCGCTGGAAATTAAAATGCCGAAGGACAGATGAACAGGAGAAAAAGGTTGATTTCACATGCATATGGAAAGCCTCAGAGACATGAAATGAGACACCCCCCCCCCCCAAAGACATGGTCAGACCCAAAGGCTTCTACAGAGGACAATGAATGTGTAGAGAAGTGAAACACATTTTAAAAGGGCTTTTGAGCTTCTGGGGCTGGTACATTGTGGGAAGGTAAATGTAATGACGGATGTTCAGGAAGTTTTGTTATAGCACTTCCTCTCAGTGCCATCTTGGGACTGATGAGTCTACAGTCCTCTCCCATGATTCCGTCCTCCTGCCTTTCCAGATACAAGAGAGGGAAGGGGGATCCCTTCACAATGGGAAGTCTGTGCCCTGCTTTTAGACAAATGGGGAGGGTTGAGAGCTTTCTCTGTGGTCTGTTTCAGTTGCATTCAGCTCAAAACAATCCTTATGCCAAAGTGGCATATTTTGGGGTGACATATTCTATGAATGTTCAATTTCGTATAAGTTATCGACAGTCTCTCTCCTGCTAGGCTGGAAGCACTCTGAGGGTGAGAACTGTGTCCATCTTGCCCACCATTGTATTTCCAGAACCTGGCGCAGCACCTGGTCCACTTACTTGACTACAAATTCATGGACAACTGATTTTGAGCTGCTCTGGGCCTCAGTTTCCTTGTCTGTGAAGCAAAGATAATAATCTCGTCTTACCAACACTAAATCTCTTCCTACACTGACACAGAGGTTCCCAGGGTGGGCATGAGAAGAAGACAGTATAATCTCTTATTTTGGAAAAAGTAATGTTAAGTGTAAAAATTTTTTTTTCGTCATTTAAATGGTAGCTCTTCCTTATTTGAATGTTCCCAGGGAAATATGGCAAGCTCTGATGGAAAGCAGATCAAGACACATCGCAGCAAACTACCCGTGAGAGTTTTCTCATTTTGTCCCCTCCTGTGACACATTTTGCTAAGAGTTTGAAATGTGTGGATGCACCCACTCTTACTCCTTCTGCTAAGGAAATTGCACCAAGGTGGGGATGGCTGGAGGGGCAGCAAGTGTTGATTTCCCAAGTGCTACATTCACAAAGGCAGGAAGGATAAGAAATCAGAAGCCCATCTTTGCTTAGCTGCAAAATTGAGTTTTTTAAAAAGGTGGCCCTGCGCTATCTCCCCTGTGGTTTTGGCAGAAGAATGATAGCAGCAAATCTATGGCTTAGTGGGAAAAAGTCCTTCAGGTTGGAATTGGGTATCTCGGATCCTATCCAGGACACATACTGCCTTGTCCTTGGGCAAGCTGCACTTCTCTGGGGCTCCTTTGATCTTAACGTCTATAAGGCCCCTCTGGGCTCTTAACGTTTTTTTGTTTGTTTTGTTTTTAAGATTTTATTTAGTTTAGAAATAGAGAGCAAGAAAGAGCATGAGCGGGGAGCAGAGGAAGAAGGGGCTCCCCGTTGAACAGGGAACCCCATGTGGGGCTCGATCCTAGAACCCCGGGATCATGACCCTAGCCCAAGGCAGACGCCCAACCAACTGAGCCACCCAGGTGCCCCTGGGCTGTAATGTTTCTAGGAAGGTAATATCAGTACTGATTTGGATTAGCCAAATCCAGGTGCTGCTCCCTCAAGCCATCTCTTCCCATTCCCAGGTGATGCTGTCATCCTCCAAACCAAGTCAGCCCGCTAGCACCTGGATCCACTCCCCCAGGGTGGGTGAGGCTGCTTGGCTCATTAAGAGTCCCTGGCCTGAGATCCCAAGTGCCCAAGGACGCAGCTAGGAGATGCGGGCAATGCAGGGGAAGAGTGGAGCCCTGGGGAGGGGCTGCAAGGAGAAGGGGGAGTTTTGCTCCCGGTGCAGCAGTTCTAAGGATTCAGTAGAAAACTGGTGAGTCCATCAGGCGCAGTCTTCCAGGTGTGAGTTTAGCTAGGCCAGGCAAAACTCAGCTTAGTTCCTTGAAGCTGGAGATTTCGAGAAGCCCAGACATGCATCCAGGACCTACAAGTGGTATCCTGGGGCTTAGTGGGGGGGCAGGTTGGCGGCTGGGGAGGGGACTCTGCACACAAGTTGCTTACAATATAATAGCACACCTTTTCTCTGAAGCCTTGTGATGGGCGGTGCATGCCGGGATATGGGAGAAAGTACAGCAGAGGTGAAACGCAACCTCTAAGAGTGCCCCAGAGGCCCAGGGGGAGTAGATTGTATATAATTACTGAATTATTCTTTGGCTGGGGAGAATTCAGGGAAGGCCTCCAGGAGGAGGAGTAGAACTCTCGAGGTAGAGCTGGAGGAACTGGGAGAAAGGCATTCCAGAGCCAGCAGAGCGGAGGTGCATGGGGCAGAGAGGTGCCTCGGGCGTCCCAGGAGCCACAACTCCTCTTGGCTAGCCGAAGGCCCAAGTGAGAGGAAGAGACAATTGGAAAGGTAGGTCATTGCTGAATCTGAGCCTAGAATGCCATGTTCATGATTTGGGATTTAGCCTGTACACCAAAGTAAAAAACTGGCTGATTACGTTTAGCTTGCAGATGGCTTTTGTTTGGCCTGTATAGTGTGTGTGTTTAATTTGAGCCAACTTTTAAAAATAAGGACCTACATTTCACATACTACCCAGATTTCCAGCTTCTCCTTAAACATAGGAGGATGTGGCCTCATGGAGACAATCTGCAGGAATGGAGTAGCTGAGTCCCTTTTTGACAAGAGCCCCGTAGGGTGCAGCTCACGTGTCTGCATACCTGCCCCACCTGGCTTGGCTCATCTGTGGCACCCTCCAGACCCAGGCCATAGAAGGTTGCAACTTGGGGTTCACAGCAGGGGTGGGTCTCAGTAAGGCTAATGGGGGAGGGGTGGAAGGGGCAGGAATGGAGGCAGTGTGCCCGCTGAAGACAGTTGCAGAGGTTCCAGCAAGAGCCTCGGGGGTGGCAGGGCATGAAAAAAGAGAGCTGGCATTCTGTGCCGAAGGAATAGGTGCTGCCTGGTTGTGTGATGTGGGGACCGGTAAGGTCTCGGTCCCAAATTCACTCCCAACAAGTGTGAAGCCCACGCTCGAACCGTAATAATAACTTACACCAGATCATTTCACCTTCCTTATCTCATTTGATCCGCCACACCCCTGTGAGCACGGTATGGTTACTGTCACCCCTGTTCCGTGGGTGAAGAGGTTGAGGCTCAGAGGTGGTGGGTTATTTGCTTAAAGCCCCTCAGCCAGTAAACAGAAGAACCTGAGCATACCTTTACCTTATTCGGGCTTCCAACCCAAATCCACCTCCGTTGGTCGGGTGCATGCCTCCTTATGTTGCACAAGGTACTCCTCTCGGGTTTTATCTTTTTAAAAAAATTAGGAATGCTTCACGAATTTGAGTGTCATCCTTGTGCAGGGGCCATGCTATTCTTCTCTGTATCATTCCAGTTTGAGAATATGTGCTGCCAGAGTGAGTGCATCTCTCTGTGCTTTTTATTTTTTTTTTAACTTAATATTAGAGAGAGAGAGAGAGTGAGCATGAGCGGGGTGAGGGGCAGAGGGAGAAGCAGATTCCCTGCTGAGCAGGGAGCCCGATGTGGGGCTCGATCCCGGGACCCCAGGATCATGACCTGAGCTGAAGGCAGACGCTTAGCCTGCGGAGCCACCCAGGCGTCCCTCATTGTGCTTTTTAAAAGTGCACATCTAGGTAGGAGAAAGCACTCCCATTGCCAGCAGAGCCTGCCGGTCTCCTGACAGAGGAGGCGCGTAGCCTCGGGGGCCAGGCACAGGCTCGGAGCCAGCCTGCCTGGCCGTGAATCCCATTGCTCCCACTTACTGGCAAGTCACGAAATACTGCCGCCTCAGTTTCCTTGCCGGTAAGAAGTGGTGGCAGCACGTACTTCGCAGGGTTGTTGTGAGGATTCAGTGAGCCATTGTGCGCTCTCTCCCGGTTATCCACATTTTTCAGAAGCCTGTGCCCAGCCCTGGGTGTCTTGTGCTGAGCAGAAACAGCAGGGGCATCAGGCCACTTGCGTGAATGTGGCCTGAGCACTGGTGCCCCCTCTCTGCACGGTGTTTGCCAACAGGAGGCTATATGGGTTGGTGCAGAGCCCTCTGGGCCATGATGGGTGGTGGAGAGAGAGAGAAAGAGGGGACTTGCCCTAGCTTTACGCCCTCCTCCTAGGGAGTCAGGCCCGGAGGCTTATGTTTCTGGGACAGCCAGAGGAAAGGGACTGGAGGAGGCTGATGGAAGCGACAACACTCAGCTCTAGGCGCCTGAAGCCTCGAGGTAGACTCCATGCTGCCTGGTAATAATCATGGGTGCTAAACGGCTGGTATTGGGCCTAGTGACATTACCTTCTGAAACCCCTGAGCTCACGACCTGCACCCCTCAGAATGGGGACACCGAGCTGGAGTGATGTTGCTAGAGGCCAGGCAGGTGGCCCAGCTGTGGTGGGCGGAACGAGGGCCCTGATACCTAGGACCTGTGACAAAACGTTACACGGCCAATCAGCTGTGCTGATGTGATTAAAGTAAGGACTTCAAGATGGGGAGACTAGCCTGGATTATCCAGATGGGCCCAATCTAATCACGGTGCTCCTTAAAAGCAGAGAAACTTGGCTAGCTGTGGCTCGAGAGAGGGAGGCATGGCTAGGGAATATGCTTGCCACCGGCTTTGAAAAAGGAGGAAGGGGGCCGTGAACCAAGAAGTGTGGGCAGCCCCTAGAAACTGGGAAGAGCAAGGGAATGGATTCTCCCCTAGAACTTCCAAAAAGGAATACCACCCTCCAGACACCCTGATTTTAGCTCAGAGAGACCCACATCCCATTTCTACCCTCCAGAGATGCAGGAAACTCGCCTGGAACCAAGGAAGACAGGAAGGGGCACACAGAGAGGTTTCAGAGAGTCTAAGTGTTTGGGCCAGATCAATGGTGAAAGAACTGTAACTGGAGTCAAAGGTCAAACCTAAGGTAATACATTTAAGGAAATGTGAGCCGAGTTTTAGCTAGGCCTTGATGTGGAGTGAGTTTGGCCCCCCAACCCCCTGAAAGAGACTGTCTGTCCCTAAAGCCATCTCTCAACTACTGCTCAAGACTTCTGGTTAGTTCGTTCTCCTTCAGGATAACTCCGTTTTTCTCAACAAGGCAAGGACAGGGGTAATTTTTCCCTCAGGATAGCAATGTCTGAAGAAATTTTTGGCTGTCACAACTGGGAGGGAGGATTGCTCCTAGCACCTAGTGAGTAGAACCCCCAGGTATTGCTAAACATCCTACAGTGGGCAGGAACGTACCCCCCCCACACACAAAACTAAGAATGATTCGGCCATAAATGTCAACAGTAGGAAGTCTGAAAACCCTAGAGGTAGACAAACTGGGAGGAATGGGTTCAAATCCACATAGCTATTGAGTGAGAACAACCCTGCTTCTCTGTCTCACTGAAATGCAGCCACCCCTCAACCAGTCCCCTGAGTGCTGCAAGTCTGGTCGGTTCCTCGGCCCACACATAGGACCAACCCCAACTCAGGCATTTATGACAGGCAGTAACTGGGATGACTAAATGAAGGTAGTTTCTTTTTTTTCTTTTTCAAAGAGTTTGTTTATTTGGAGAGCAAGAGAGTGAGAGCTTGAGCAGGGGGAGGGGCAGAGGGAGAGGGAAAAGAAGATTCCCCACTGAGCAGAGAGCCGGATGTGGGGCTCGATCCCAGGACCCTGGGATCATGACCTGAGCTGAAGGCAGGCGCTGGGCCCCCTGAGCCACCAAGACTCCCCACAAAGGTAGTTTCAATTCAATTCCCTCCTCCCAACGGCACAGGGGTAGTCGCTCCGTAAAATATCCCCTCATCTCCTGGTCAATATATCTACTGTTTCTTGGAGGTGCCTGTCCCATTCCAGCAATTTATCCCCTTGACCATGTCTTTCCAGGACTGAGCAGAGAATTCAGGGACTATTTCAGTGATCAGGAGATAGAGCTAATCTCAGGATAGCCTCTGATTCACCCTGAGCTCTTCTCCCTCTCTATATCCCCATCATCCCTGCCCATCAAGGTAAACCAGGTGGTCACTGCCTACCTTGGTCAGGCAGAGGGGTAGAACCCATGGTTAAGGTGTAAAGGCCCTGGCCGCGGAAGCTGCAATAAGTAGGCTTTGAAATAATTGTTTCATTTTTTTTAAAGGTTTTATTTATTTATTTGACAGAGAGAGACACAGCGAGAGAGGGAACACAAGCAGGGGGAGTGGGAGAGGGAGAAGCAGGCTTCCCGCGGAGCAGGGAGCCCGATGCGGGACTCGATCCCAGGACCCTGGGATCATGACCTGAGCTGAAGGCAGATGCTTAATGACTGAGCCACCCAGGCGCCCCAATTGTTTCATTTCTAGTTTGCAGGAAACTTGACACAATTTATCTGGTATAAACAGAGGTCTCCCCACTGTACAAATGAGGAAACAAGGCTTTGAAAGACGATGTTTGTCAAATGTGAGGGACTGTCGTTCTAGGTGGTGAAGCCCCTAGCTACCACCAAATTTTTCCCCAGGCCAACAGTTAGTCTTACCACATCTACAGTCAAAATGCATTAAATGCACACTTTGCTCACACTTTCCATCACCCCATTTCTCACCGTTGTGGTAACCACTATTAGTGCCCCTCACTTTCCCCATGCCAAACCCTGCCAGGTGAAAAACTGGCAAGGAGACAGTAAGAACATCTTCCCAACATACTGGGGTCCCACAGCACAAGGGTAACGGGGTACGCATTGGTGAATGGTGGACGAGGCTGGCACATGTAAACAGTGGTTCTCTCAGGGGGCAGGTTAATTTCTTCTTAATGCCTCTCTGTGTTTTCCAAAATGGGTATATTCATTCTATAATCAGAAAAAAAAAAAGTTCTGAAACCTACATTTCCTAAGAAATGATACAGGAAAGATGTGAGTCTAGAACCTACATCTTTTCAAACTGAGCCAGGCTCTGTCATCTTTACCTTTCAGTAACATTTGCCAAAAAGTTTGGAAAATTCACAGGTGCTTCCCAGAGTGCTGTATCCTTGGAAAATGTAGGATGAAAGGGCAAGGTATTATTGCCTGTCCCAGAAAGATTAGGGAGAGGACTGTGGCATGCTTCCTCCATGGTGGCTGACCTTAAGGGTCCAAGCAACATGGTGGCCACACGGGCAACTCTCCTCACGCACAGAGAAATCTGCTTAATGGCAGTCTCAGTAGAAAAGAAGCCTGTTCTTCTTTTTTTTTAAGATTTTATTTATTTGAGAGTGAGAGAGCGAGAACAAGTGGGGGGAGTGGAGCAGAGTAGGGAGGGGGAGGAGCAGACTCTCCGGCCCAGCAGGAAGCCCAATGTGGGGTTCGATCCAGGGACCCTGAGATCATGACCTGAGCCACCCAGGCGACCAAGATTTATGATTTTAGAATCTAGGGGCTCCTACTTACAGAGCTATATTCCCCAGCCAGCTGGGTGTTACTGTTCTTTTAGACAATCCCATGCAATAATAGTTCACATAGATAGAGGGCTGATCACATGCTGGGGCTTAACATCTGGAGTCTTTTGTTGTCACAGCAACCCAGGTAGGTGGTCGTCATCATCCCTAGTTTACAAGTAAGGGTCCAGGGGCTAAGCGAGATAAGTAGTGCTAATAAGAGTGGGAGTTCACAGCCAAGGCTGTCTAACTCTGGGTCCAGGGTCATCTTCCTGTTTTCTGCTACTTTCTTCTCCCTTCATGTTCTGAGTTAGGGGAAGGCATTACTCCTTCCTGTCTGGGGGAGTAAGATCCTTTCTTTCCTGTTCAGTTCCCAGGGATTCAAAGGAATCATGTTTAAGTTTTGAAAGATGTATAGATGAGAGCCCCTAGATCCATAGAAGCCCCAGTGTTAATCTCTTGCTTTGAACGGTACTCGCCTCTATTACAATAGGCTTGAATTGGGGGGCACGCAGGCAAGGGACTCCTCCTCTAACGCCCTGATAGTAGAGAAGATCACAGGCCTCCCCTCCGCTGCAAGGGTTCCTATGATGGTCAGACTTGAATCAGCTTGCATTTATTGAGCATTTACTATGTGTCAGGCTCTGAGCTCATGTCCTTTGATCCAATTTGTGGTCTTTGCACCACATTTCGCAGCTAGCTCCTCGCAAATCACTTGACATTGCAGTGCTCCAGTTAGGGTGATCATGCAGAGGAGGTGCCTCACGGATGGGAATGAAGAAGGGTCAAGGCAGGAGCGGGGTGGTTTCTACCATCTCAAGGCAATGTGAGTCATAAGGCAAGGGGAAGGTATCTCTCAGCAAGTGTCCACATTAACCTGGGACTGTGGGCTCAGCCCTGCAAGCAACTAGCCATATATTAGAGAAATCAGACCGCACTCAAGCACAGATTTGAGGGCCGTAGGAACTGGCATATCGATGCAGACGTTGATGCTGTTGGTGATTGCCGGCCCCAGGCTCTGCCACCGACAGCAGACGTTGGTGAGCCTTCCCAGGGCAA